AATCAACCGAGATATCTCATCGAAATCTCGCCAAGTGTTCTTACATTAGCAGCGTGTTTCATTTTAGTTAAGAGTTTCGAAATTGCACTAGTTTTTAAAAAAATATTTCTTGCTTTTTTTCTGAATATGTGGCTAACAATCTTTAATTTGCCAAATAAAGAGGTGGATGTCGTATCATATTTCCAAGAAAGAGATCTTTTACCTGAGAAGCGAGTATCTGAAAATGGCCACACACAAATGTTAACAATAAAATTATTTGGACATGCAATGTTAATAATCATAAAAGAAGGAAGGGCCTCCGTGTTGGAAATTGCTTTCAGTGGTTCAAGAATATCATTCATCACTGTTATTAGATTTATGTATTTTGGGGTAGAGGAGTGTCATCCATTAAATGATGTGACAAACAGTGTGCGTGAAAATGCTGCACATGTTTGGGAACTATAAAGATTCAACCGGCAAAAACGTGATCCCAACAAAATAGTTAAAAATCGATGAGAGTTTGTTTGCTTGACGTAAGAACAACTGTCGCCGAATACTCCCACAACAGAGGATTGTTGGAGGAATGAGCTAGTAAGATGGTGAGCACTTTGTCACTCAAATTTTCAATAGAGATGCTGTTACACTTATGAAGAAAATTATTCAACTACATAATGGATTAATGATCTATTCAGACTGCTGGAAGGAATATAAAATGTAGCAACTTGAAGAAGCTGGTTACTGTAATTTTATTGTGAACTGTAAGTACAATTTTATAGATCTAAGAATTGGTGTTCATACCTAAAACATGAAAAGAATGTGGTGTTTAGCCAAGTGATGTAATAAAAAACAATGGGCACGATTCGACTGGAATTTATGTTGAGAAAGTGCATAAGAAAAAATTATGTTTTTGATAAACTGTTGAAAGCAATTTTGGAAATATGGCCTTGTCATATAATGATTATTAAAAATATTCTTAGGAAACATGAGTATTATTTTTATTATTGAATAGAGTCATTATTTATCTTCTTAGGAAACATGTGAGTATTATTGCATATTCAGTCGTTTATTTTTATCTTCACAATTCACAAGCTGACGAGATATTTCGGTTGATTAGCAAATTCAGTCTTGGGGTCTACAATAATTACTCTGAATGCCTCAGAAGAAAGTATCCTGAAAAGAATTGTCATGCCAGCATTATGCAGATATTGGCAGCCAAATTAAGAGAGCAATATTGGATCATTTCATCCAAGCGAAATATAAGATCTTGTGTGAGCCGATGTGCAGTCGGCAGGAGATTCACCACCAAAACTTTGTCCTAACCTCTGATATAGTTACACCTTGACAGAGTAAGGGATTCAGCAGTCTTTGAAAATAACTACAGTCGATCTCTGTAGTCTTTTGCTTCTGAGACCAAGGGCAAAAGCTTGGATCATCTTGTTCACCAGGAGCCTGAGCCTGTCACCTGTCTAAGTACTGAAGCATTTCTGCAGGCTGTGAGAGATGGTTCATTGCTAGATGAGGCCATTCTTTGACAATGCATTCCGATAACAAAACCAACTTCACTGGAAAAGAAACTGCTCTGAGGCACCTTGATTGGTGGAAAATCACACAAAAGAAGTGTTTTTCAGTAAACAGGAAGTTCATTTTCTCTAAGGCTGTGTTGTGGAGGAGTGGTTGGAACGCTTAGTTCATTCTATCAAGGCCCTTCTTGTGCAAATTTTAGGAAGATCTTTAATGAATTACGAAGTTACTGACAGTACTGTCTGATGCTGAATTAACATAAAACAACCGTATCTTAACTTACATTTCTGATGATTCAGAACAGCTTCTAGCCCTGACTTTTTTTTTTTTCAAAGCATAAAATAAGTGTGGGTAGCAGATCTGTATTACATTGACTTCTAGAAGTTGAATGTGAGGGCCAACTATTGCAATATACTGAGATGTCATTTCCATAAGAAATATTGGGCTCAGCCTGTGCAGAAAGCCAGTGTTTCATGTCAAGAACTAAAAGTGGGGACAAAGAACTAGAGAAGAAAAAATGTATAATGTGGCTAATCAGCAAAATTATCACAGTCAGCCAAAATTATCAAAGCTATTAGAGAATTACCAAATAGCACAGATGGTGCTACAAGTGAAAACCAGCAGTGGATATTTGGTTAGACCAATCAAGAAAACTATATCCACTAGAGGTTTCAGCTGCCAGCGATCCTGTGCTAATCCTAGCAACTGAGAACAAATCTACTTATGGAAGACTTCAAAATCAAGGAAAAACTCTTGAACATGTAAATTATAGTTTTTGGACTTTGAAGGATTTTTTGTATTAATAACTGTTGTTGTGTTCAGTTTATTTTCTGTTAACTTCATTTTAACATGTTACATCATACATATTATATTTTAATTAAATTTTACTTTTATGCTTTTCTAACTTTATTTACTAGTGCTACTTTTATGCCTAATGATAGAAAAAATTGTGAAATGTTTTATTTTTAGAAAATCAGGGATGGAGATGCTGTGCCTCTCACGTGTGTAGGATAGTGAACCTGGCGAAATGGCAGCAATAACCATGCTTACATAAATTATGAGTTGAAGGCATATAGGGCACAGGAGTTTGCACGCATACTTTTAAGAGTTCAGGGATTTTAAGAGTGTCTGAGGGAAGTTTTTTTTTTTTTTTTTTTTTTTTTTTTTAGTGTGAAGTGAGAGAGTTGAGTTCTAGTTTACAGGGAGACATACAAATTGAAAGGAGCTGCACATATTAGGCAATTTTTTTAATTTGTTGCATTTAGAAAGAAAATGAAGTTCCCTCTGTTTAAATTGGCAATATTTTAGTTCCAAAAGTTTTCAAGTTTAGGAAAAGAGCACCAGGCTCACTCTTAGCATGCAGATAAGTAGAGATTTTATAATATTGTAGGTGTGCATAATTTGTTATTATAACTGTATTAAATATTCAAAAAACCCAGAAAGGTATTTTATTTTGTTACAATTAACTATGCATTTCATCTCACAGCCTGTTGTAATCAGGTATATAAAGAAATAATACCTAGCCATTAAAAAATTTTAAGAATTTTGCTCCCGACACATGCGTTACAGACTTGTGTACACACAAAACTTTAAATGCATGTTCACATTATAATTTAGGACAGCAAGAAGGAATAAGGAGTATTTTTACCTCTATATTTTGGATTTTTGAATTAATTAATAAATTTTTACTAAATAAAAGGAAACCGAGTGAAAATTAATGTTATGTATAAGAATTAATAGAATTTTAAACTTACGTTTTCAAATAATAATGGTTTCTTTTAGAAGTTGGATTAGTAATGGTGTCGTGTGGTGTATTTAATTATGGCAAAGCACAATAGGGCTATCTGCCTAAGGGGAGGGATGCCTTCGTGGAGGACTTTTTAAGGGAAACTGGCTCGTATACACTTTACACATAGGGAAAACCACGGAAACACCCATGCAGCCAGCCCGTTCGCGGGATTCGAACCTCGGACCGAACTACCAGTGTTCAGTGACTTTACAGCTCGGCCACTGTTGGGCCGGATTAGTAATGTGAACATCTAAAATGCTTTAAAATTTCTAAAGTTTGAAGACAAATTTCTGAATTTTTTTAAAAATTTCTAAAGTTTGTGATGTTATCATAATGCAATTATTCATTGGTTCTTCATTTTTTACCATGGTATTTTTTTTTTTCAATAACAATATTTTAATACAGCGAAGTTTTTGAGCTGCTTTATTCTTTAAGATGATATTTTAGAACTGCAATGTTTTTTTTCTTTCCTTTCTTTTCTCCCACGTCATGATATTTTATGTGAAAATGTTTTCCTTTTGTGATTTTTTTTTCACAATGTTTTTGGCAAACACCCATGAAGACACCCTAGTCTGGTTGGAACACGATTGCCAACATGATTCAAATTTTAATTGCATTAGGTTGATGGACATGTGTTGGCGAAACATGAAGAAATGGATACTGAGTTCACAGCTAGCACTACACATGAATGTCAATGTGTCCCGAGATCAAAGGAATATGTCACTGGTAAAGATGGGGACCTCTGATGTTTAGATTGATATGTAAATATAAGGATTACTGAAATGTGTTAGAAGCCCATGCAACCATTGCTGTGCTGCATTTATTTTCAAGCAGAAACTGTCAATTCCAGGATAACAATGCTAGTTACCATTAAGAACAACTATGTTGTTAATATGACTACACAAACTATATGACAGCATGATACATAGAGAGTAGCCCCACAAACTTTCTGATCTTATGTCAACTGCAAATGTTCTGAAACAATCTGTTAAATTGGATACTCTTCCAAATTTTGTTTACTCAAGGTTTACTTCCAAATTCTGTTTACTCCCCGCAGAACACAGTTTTATATGCTTTCTACCACTTTTAAGCACTTCTAAGCTAAATCAATAATTTGGTGTTGATCCATAGTTGTAGCTATTACAGCAAGATAATATTTAAATGTGAATCCATCAAAGATAATATTTACACAGATATTATACACATATTACAGATGTGATCACCCTTCAATGAATATTCAGTGCCCATACAAGATACGGAAGATTTTTATTTGTAGTGTTGACAGGGTTCCTCTTCTCCTTTAAATCTTCATTTACAAAATGAAGATTTGCAACATAGTAAAAAACTAGTAAAAATTTTCTAAACTTTTTACAGGTAATATTAAATAAGATTTCAAAATAAATTCTGAGAATAATAATAAAATGATCTATTGTATATGATCTAAGTGAGGACTAAATTTTATTGATAATCCACAAAATTTAGTCTACATATTATATACTGAAATATTTTACAGTCCCATACCATATGAAACAAGTTCTAAACAATTATAACTATCAATTTACTTTCATTTGTAAATATGAACATGCAATTACTAATAATGAAGTAAACATTAGAGATAATTAAGAAAAAGAAATTTTCAGTTATTAAATATACCTGCCATACGAAAACAGTAAATGAAATCTGAATATTTACAAACAAAACATTATTTTACCTGCATTTGCTGCAGCAGGAGCATTAAAATTTCCAAATGGATCACTTCCGAGAAAGGGGTCATCCTAATGCACATTGGGAGAGAAAAAAAGGATAAAAATTTTTTAAATGCATAAAAGTTTAACCATCATTCACAATAGATAGCATAACTAGCTTGTTGTTATTATTTGTAGTAAGTTTTCTGTTAAGAATAACTTAACCTGACGAATGAAAAATTGAGTAAGTGTCTGAAAACTTAAGAGCAGTATTTGGATCAGAAGCTTAAAGGAGGGAAAAAAATCCTCTTAAATGATGGTACAAAACAGAAAAGAAAAAATGGACTGCAAATAGAAACTTTTCTGTATGATATATACACAAATTTAAAAAGTATATTCACACTTAAGAAGTATGTTTATCTAGAGATTGAGGAAAAGTACCTCAAAATCTTCTCCATGTAACTCTATGAATACACTGTTTTGGTGATACCAGGCCAGAGATGTCTGAACATTTATCAATTTAAATAAAATCAATTCACAGTAAAAATAATAAAAAATATTAATTTTCAGCAATATACAGTCAAAAGTCGTTAATTTGGACACCCATAATCCGGAATGATCTATAAACCGGACATCAAAACTACAAACTTTCTGCGCATGCGTCAAACAGACGCATGCGCGTAAAACCTTTACGGCTACGAATATGCGTGTGCGCATGCACATAATATGTTTACGCATACGCGTTTAATGTATAACGGACGGTATAAGCTAAGCTAAAATTATCTAATTCAGTTAATGTTGCAGATTGCGTTGTTCCTTAATCTTCGAATTGGATCTGGCTTATTATTTTTTGCAGACTGTTAGAGCAATTTTATAAAAGTAAGCTTGAACTTTTGATTATATCAAATAGAATTTCCAATATATATTTAGTAATATTTAAAGGATCTACAAAGCGAAAGTATGTTTCGAAGTCCATTAAACAAAAAGTGGAATTGCTGCAAAAAATGGATAAAGGCATAATCCTTTGTTTATCTAACCATTCCGAAATCTGTTTATCAATTTCACGCTGCTCTGCGGCGCGCAATGAATTGGAAGTTAATCTGTCAGCACTATCCTTATCTTCAGGGCAGATGTTTTTATTTTATTTGGCTTATAATTCCTTACTAAATGTAGTATTTCATCTCGATGTACTCTGTCTTTGATATGATTTAAATCAAATTCCTCGTCATTATAATTCGCTTCCGATAGTGAAGAAAGTGACACAGAGGTTATTGAAAACGAAAAAATTTCGATTGACAAGTTAGTAGGTATTCTCGGCACAGCAATTGCGGGACTTGAACAGCGAAGCTTTGTAACTGAACAATAAATTATGTCTGTTTATAGAATTAAAGAGAAAGTATTATCACATAAAACGAAGCAACTTAAATAACTTACATTGAAAGAAATGTTTAATAAAGTAAACAAATAAATATTAAGCTTTTTTTTTTGTAAATTTTGATACCCTTTAGATCATAATTGTTCTTTGTTTCATAAATTACGGTTTCATATTTTTAATTTTATAATTTCTGCATGCCATCTTACCAGATTTAAACTGATGATCTATAATCCGGAAAAATCGATAATCTGGAATCGCCGAAGTCCCGACGAGTCCGGATTAACGACTTTTGACTGTATTAGAATTTAAATGGAAAAGTTCTCTTTCTCCATATACATATTTATATATAAACAGTCCTTAATATCTAACATTCCTTTTCATCCAACACACAACAAACATCTAATTTATATCAGAATATTAAGTACTGTTATAATAAAAATAGTGATAGTGATAAAGATTTTATTAACATTACATAGGTACTTTTCCATTAAAGTGATATAATGCATTTTCAGTGACACATTGTTGCATTTTGGCTTATTTCTTTCCCCATGCCTTTGGTTCAATATCAAATGAAATGGAATAATCAAGAACACCAATAAAGAATTATCTAATTTCATGTTAAATTCTTTCAAAAACTTACTGTGGGAGAAAGGGGGGAGAGAATACTGTCTACATTACTTCTTTTACACAATTTCCACAAATTTGCTGCATTTATTAATTTTGATATTAGATAACAAAGAATTAGCACACATTTCTCTTATGCAATTATTCTAATCAACTTTTGTACTGTGATTAATTTGAAGTGAGCTTTGGTTAGCAAAACTCAACAGGCATTAACTGCAAACTAAATGAACTGCACAGCAGTAACGAAAGGAATGCATGATTTAACAAATCATATTTGAATTAAATACAATAACAGTCTAAAGGACAGGGTGGTCAGACACCCTCAAGAGAAGTAAGCTCGCATTTAATCAGATTCATCGAGTAATGGACATTTGTGCTCGTGAATTCTGTTGAACAGAAGCGGTGTCAACAGCAGCTACAGCAGACAGGCAATTCTATACCAACTACTTTCATAATTCTTACCTTATAAATTTGGTATCTTACTATATACGATAACATTCAACCATTGAAATTAGGACAATTTCAGAGACTAATGGCATGCCATTGTACCTATGTTACGTATATGCATGACAGCCATGTTTAGTGCACTACATGAATAACTTTGCTGGAACATGTTACCTCCTAGATGCAGATTACCACAATCAATGTCTGTCTATTTGTACTTCAGTGTTGCTTCTATCCATTATTAATCTTTAAATTTTACTGTGTTTACTTAATTTTTGTATTGTATTCTGTGTATTTCAATTTACATATTGTCTTAGTGTATTGACCTGTTAAGTAGTAAGTGCGTAGTGTTATGTTTTCAAATCAAGTTTGCGGTATAATAGTAAAAACATATATAGAGCTCTCGGCTAGTACCATGGAATATTGTGTGCAAATATTTTGTAACAGTTTTTAGCATTGTGCAAAATGCAACAGTCTAACAAATATTCGTGGCCGCAGAACCAACCTTCTGATAAGCACATTGTATATTGATTGTTATTTTGTAGTATTCGCTATTTTATTTCAGTGTATGTACAGTATTCCATTAAGTATCTTGTATATTTTTTTTCTATTAACGTGGAGTATAATAGTTTAGGGTCGTATAATGATAAGTAAGTGTGATGTATAATAGTAGTATTGAACCAGACTTTCTTGGTTGTAGAACTTTGTTAATATGTATTGAAATATTTTGCTGGATTTAATGTTTTGAAATGACTTGTATTCTAACTCTGCTACAATATATTATATTCCTCATTTCACTGTGACTGTTTCCAAAGGTTATTGTCTAGTGCTCTTTTGATTAGTTTTAGCGTTACAGTACAGCATCATGTACAGAATTGTCTACTTTTCTGATACAAGCAGTGTATACGTTGTGTTTTATTCGTAGTATCAGCTTTACTATGTCAGTGTGTACTTTTCTGATACGAGCAGTGTATATGGTGTGTTTTATTTGTAGTATCAGTTTTACTATGTTAGTGTGTTGTTCAGTATTATTGTATAATTGTATAATATTTTTTGTATTATATATTGTATAATATTTTAAAAAAATTTTTTTAAGTAATGTGCGGAATTATAGTAAGTGTATAATAGTAAGTCAGTGTGATGTATAACTGCAGGCTTGAAATTCCAATGTTAGTCTTAAATTTTACTGTTTTTGTTTTACCTTTACCAGTTTTGTATCAATGAAACTTTGTACTTCTAAGTATTTTTTTTTTTTTTTTTTTTTAATCTATGCTATTAGGAATGTCGTGTATTCAAGGTAGTCCTCTGTATTCCCTATCTAGATGTAACTCTGTAATTTTTTTTTTTTTTTTAATTTAGACTTAATAAATGTCTGCAGGGCGGACATCATACTGCAAGGGCTTGTTCCCGGTCAGTAGTCCTCCTTAGCAGTGTAAAAGTAAAAAAAAAGTCTAAAGGACAACTGCTGCACCTGCTGAAACAACAAGGGAAATGAGGCTATTCGCAGTGGCCGATTTGCTGTCAGGATGTTTCGCCGTCGATACATATTTTTCTTTACCTGACCATATTATATCTTGCCATATTACACTAAGCTGATTTAGCTTAATAATTATGTTTACCTATTGTATATTTAAGGAATAATTTTCTTTATATGCCTGTATTATACCTTGCCATATTATATTATTAAGTTTAATTTAATAAATTTTGTTTACATACTGTTTACCTCTGGCTGTCTTAAATTTTAAATGAAAATAAACCTTTTGAAATTACACACATTTTCTAGAATTACTAAAATATTACCTAGAATTAATGACATTTTTCCCAGAAAAGAATTTATTTGGAAAGATTTTCTCAGTGTAATATTTATGTGTATTGTATGCCTATAATAGTATTACAATAAAAACATTAGATCATTAACATTTAAAAGACAGTGGTTGAAAAATTGTTCAACATTACAGTATCACAAAAAACGGCTCTGAACAAAACATTGGATAGAGAAAATAAATCAAAATAAGTTACAATATGCATTATTATTGTATGAATCTATATGACACACAAATATATATATATTACAAATGAATTTATTACAAAGTATTTATAATGATATTAAACAATGATGCGTTGCTTCTCCTCCACCAGCGATTGATTGGAACTTGAGTCATCACCCCACTTGACATGCCAGCATGTGATTGGCTCTTTAGCGATCACGCCACATTTGTGCCAGCATGTGACCAGCAATGAACTTGTTAAGGTATTACCGATTATACAAGAGGATATATATAATCACATTTTTGATAAAAGTTTTAGTATTGTAAGAACCATGACGCTATAGCCCTTGATAATGGATGCTAAAATATTGAGCAAAAGAGAGGAAAGAAAATTTTTTTGAAAATGGTTATATTTACATTTCTGATGCATTTAGAAAAAGTGACAGCAATGTTAAATTTTGGAGATGTGAGCAAAGAAACACATGTAAGGCAAGATCACATGCAAGAAATAACAAAGTCATCAAAAAGACCAATATGCACACACATGATTCTTCCATGGTTTCTATAGATGTTGCACAAGTGGTGACTAATATAAAGAAATGTGCTGCAGAAATGTTGGAGGTCCAGGTAATTAATGGATGCTTGACTGATCTTACACA